AGAAGCTGTCAGTTAATGAGGTCCACTGTCTATCTTCTCTCTTATGGCCTGTGAGTTCGGGTTTTGTTCAGGAATTGGATGCCAGTTCCAATTTCCATGAGAGTATGTCCTTCATTTTCTAAGGTTCTTATGGTTTGAGATTTTACATTTAGGTCTCTGATCCATTTAGAGTTAATTTTTGTGTGTGGGGATAGATAGAGGTCCTGTTTCAATCTTCTGCGTGTGGTCAGCCAGTTTTCCCAGCACCATTTACTGAATAGGTTCTCCTCTCCTCAGTGGTAGATGGTGGAGGCTTTGTTGAAGATCAGTTGGTTGAGAAATTGAGGTTTTGCTTCTGGAATCTCAATCCTATTCCATTGGTCTATATGCCTGTTCCTGTACTAATACCAAGCTGTTTTGATGATTGTAGCTTTATAGTAAAGTTTGAAGTCTGGTAATGTGATACCACCTGCTTTGTTTTTTTGTTTTTTTTTTTTTCTGAGGATTGTTCTGGCTATTCTTGGTCGTTTGTGTTTCCATATGAATTCCTGTGTTGTTTTTTCTAGGTCTGAGAATAATGTTGCTGGTAATTTGATGGGTATTGAATTAAATCTGTAGATTGCCTTAGGTAGGATGGACATCTTCACAATGTTGATTCTTCCAGTCCATGAGCATGGGATATTTTTCCACTTGTTTGTGTCATCTTTGATTTCTTTGAGCAGTGTTTTGTAGTTTTCATTGTAAAGGTCTTTCATGTTTCCGGTTAGGAAGATGCCAAGGTATTTCATTTTTTTTGTGGCTATTGTGAATGGAATTGTGTTTTTTATTTGGGTTTCTATTTTTGTTTATTATTGGTATAAAGAAATGCGATTATCTTTGGCACATTTATTTTACATCCTGAGACTTTGCCAAAGTCCTTTATCAGTGTAAGGAGGTTTTTGACAGATTCTCTTGGGTTTTCAAGTTACACAATCATATCATCTGCAAAGAGAGATAACTTGACTTCCTCTTTTTTTATTTGGATACCCCTGATTGCCTTCTCTTCTCTGATTGCTCTAGCCAGGACTTCCAATACTATGTTGAACAGGAGGGGTGAGAGTGGGCATCCTTCTCTTGTTCTGGTTTTCAGGGGAAATGGTTCCAGTTTTTGTCCATTTAGGAGTATGCTGGCTGTGGGTTTCTTGTAGATGACTTTTACTATTTTGAGGTATGTTCCCTGTATGCCTAGATGTTCGAGGGTTTTTATCAAGAAGGGGTGCTGGATTTTATCAAAAACTTTTCTGCATCTAATGATATAATCATGTGATTTTTGTTTTGACATCTGTTGATGTATTTAATTACATTTATAGTTTTACGAATGTTAAACCAGCCTTGCATCCCAGGGATGAAGCCTACTTGGTCATGACGGATGATTTTTGAGATGTGTTATTGAATCCGATTCTCTAGGATCTTGTTGAGAATTTTAGCATCTGTGTTTATCAAAGATATTGGCCTGTAGTTCTCTTTCTTTGTTGGGTCTTTACCTGTCTTGGGTATCAATGTGATGTTAGCTTCGTAAAATGATTTGGGGAGAGTTCCATCTTTTTCAATCGCCTG